GGTTGACCCTAAAGAAGGGGCGTGGATCAGGTTAACGCTGAAGAGGGGTCACGAGCAGGTTAGGAAGACCCTAGAGAGGGATCATGGGGGCAGTCGGGTTGGGTTGACCCCAGAGAGGGGTCGCAGGTCAGGCTGACCCCGGTGAGGGGTCCTGGGCTGGGCTGGGGCAGGCTGGCCCTAGATGGGGGGTTTTTTGGAGGGCCTCCCCTGCTGCTCTCTGGTCCTGGGGGTGGGTCATATGGGGGGTTCCATGGGGGGCAGAGGTGACTCTAGCCCATTCCCACCACGCATCTGAGGTGACGCCATCACCTGCCCAACTAACCTGCTAACCACCCATCTAACCAGCTAACCACCACCCATCCAGCCAGCTAACCCACCATCCAACCAGTTAAACCAGCCCCCAACCAGGTAACCACCGCCCGTCCACCCAGATAACCACCGCCCGTCCAAACAGTTAACTGCCCACCCAACCAGCTAACCAAACACTCATCCAACCAGCTAACCAGCCACTCATCCAACTGACCACCGCCCGTCCAAACAGTTAACTGCCCACCCAACCAGCTAACCAAACACTCATCCAACCAGCTAACCAGCCACCCAATCAGCTAACCAGCCACCCATCCAACCAGCTAACCAATCACTCAGCTAACTGCTCATCCAACTAGCTAACCAGTCGCTCAACCAGAGAACCAACCCCCCAACCAGCTACCCACCACCCATCCAACCAGTTAACCACCCACCCAAACAACTAACCCACCACCCATCCAAACAGCTAAGCAACCAACCAGCTAACTACTGCCCACCCAGTCAGCTAACCAACCGTCCAACCACCCAAGTAACCAGCTAACTACCCACCCGACCAGCTAACAACCCATCTGACCACCCATTTGCCAGCCAGCTAACCAGCCGACCACCTAGCTAACCTGATAACTGCCAGCCAGCTAACCGCCAGCCAGCTAACCAGCCGACCACCTAGCTAACCTGATAACTGCCAGCCAGCTAACCAGCCGACCACCTAGCTAACCTGATAACTGCCAGCCAGCTAACCAGCCGACCACCTAGCTAACCTGATAACTGCCAGCCAGCTAACCAGCCGACCACCTAGCTAACCTGATAACTGCCAGCCAGCTAACCAGCCGACCACCTAGCTAACCTGATAACTGCCAGCCAGCTAACCAGCCGACCACCTAGCTAACCTGATAACTGCCAGCCAGCTAACCAGCCCATCGCCCAGCTAACCAACCAGCCCATCGCCCAGCTAACCAACCAGCTGATCATCCAACTAACCACCCATCCATCGCCCAGCTAACCAGCCCATCGCCCAGCTAACCAACCAGCCGATCATCCAACTAACCACCCATCCGGCTTACCACCCACCCAACTAACCAACCACCCACCCAACCGACCTGTCACCTGCCTGACCAACCCACCAACTACCCGACAGCTCAACCTCCCGCCCAATCACCCGCTGACCCAACTGGCCAATCGGCCGCTCTCCCAACTGACCGACCAACCAGCCAACGGCTCCTCCAAGCGCCCGACCAACCACGACTTGGCCACCGCCCACCCGCCCACCCGCTGGCC